ATATATATACATACATACTGTAAGCAGCATAATCTGGCAAAAATTTTGTGGGTTTCCTTATGCTTTTTCTGTATAGAGACTTGTTAATAGAAGTAGGACAATGTACATATATTCATACATTCTGTAGCCCCATTCCTTTTATTATTATGAGAACTAACTAATAAGTGACCAACTGCCAGACAAAGTGGAAGTCCTATATAAAAAGTAGAAAACAAATTAATTTTTCATTCAAATATATCAAAAGTGGATATAAGAAAGGTGCTTGAAAAAGAGTGAAAATAATTGTTACATGGTTCCAGGGAAATATGTGGTATTATGGGATAACATAGCAGAGGTATGTAGTAAAGTATAGATAAGAAATACTGTTTAGACAGGAATCCTGCAAAATGTAAGAAGAGAAAAAATAGCACATTATCATATATAGACAGCAAAATGTTCCTGCAAAATAAGATAGTTTTGCCAATAGTTTCGATTATTCCTTATTCACACATAAAGTAATATACAATAAAATAAAAGAGAACAGTTTTCCATACACAAAAATCAAAGGAAAACATAAGAAAATTCATAAATGAGCAAACAATAAATCTTACCCCTAATTAAAACTATATCCCAACTTTAACTGATATTGTAAGTCTTTTGTAAATTCAAAATCTCTCTCCACACACACGCACGCACACACACACACACATACACACTTATTGTTATTAGAGCATGAAAACCCTACATTTTTCTAAACATGTTAAATTTCAAGTTGTTGCTATATATTGAATATGTACAATATACATGTCTTCTAAAAAGGGTTTTCTCAATAATTCAAAATATTGTACAATCTTATTCCAAAATGGATGAAAAAGGCTAAAAATACCTCTAGCCATTAATAAAATTAAAAATTAAACATAATTAAATAATTTGGCATGCAAATGAAATGATGAAATAATTATTTCTGTTTCTGACAAATACTTTTTAATTCAGAAAGATTATTTATAGATCTTTATGAGAATAGTATGTTCAAGATTGGGACTGAAAAAAATGGCTTAAAGATAGGTTTCAAAAAAATAATGTAAAGGAAGTTATTAAAGATGTGAGAAATGGTAAGGCCACAAGTGTAAATGATATAACTGGAGAAGTGTCAAATTATGTCTGTAGTTTGCTTATATTGTGGCTATACAATTTCGGTTAATTTATATATGAAGTCTATAGTAATTCCTTATGATTAGAAGAATGTGGTTATTTTTCCCCTACACAAAAAGAAAGGAAATAAGAATTAATACAAAAACCACCATAGTTGTTACTTTATTAAGTATACCTACCAAAATGCAGAGTAGTATCACTTAAAATATACAAAATATGACAATGTTAAATTTTGAAGATACAGGACTTTTATGCTAGGAAAGCCATAGTGTGTTTTTCAGCACACCAGTAAGAAATGTATATGTGTGAAGAAGTTTATAGTATATTTATCATTATCAGTCTTCATTGCAATAAATGACTGCAATGCACAAAACAAATCATTAGCCCACATACCTGTAGATTTATAAATTAGACCACTAACTTTAAAAAAAGCAACAAGAAATGTTAACTTTAAAAAATAAGAAGATTGGATAGTTATATAAAAGTAGGCTTAAAAATGAAACTAAAACAGGACGGACGGCTGAAAAGAAATTTGGTTAAGCTTCAATAATGAATAGACCTCTGAAAAAACCAACTGAAACAGAATAAGTAGAAAACAAAATACAATTTAAAGGTTAATTTAAAAAAGAATAAGTCTTAATGCCATAAATAAACCATATTATGCTCAACTGAATTCATCTGGTCTTAGTAATAATATGCTTTCCTATTTTATGTTTGTTAATTTACAGAAACTATAAGATAAAGTTCTATATGAAAATGGAGCTGAACATTGAATGAGTAATAGGAAAAGAGTAGTATATGATAGAAATTAAATATATATAAGATAAATCAAATGACTAATGGAAGGTTCAGCATTGATGTGTTCAGCATTGACAAAGATGTGTTCATTTTCTAATATTTTATGAATACCTATATGACTCTACCTGTGATGATGTTCAAATCATTTTGGTTGGGAATACCAGTATGAGTGTACTTTTGGATACAGGTAATTCCATGTTGCTGCATGAAATCTAAATGATCTGCAACTGATATTAATAGCATGTTGCAATTAGTAGCATAAACCTGTAATTAACATATCAAAGTTTATCACTGACAGCTTATGACTGACAGAAAAAGTATAATTAAAGATTCCATACAGTATTATACATGGTTGGCAAAAAGCAGTACATAGATACATCCACTAAATGTCTACTAAAGCTAAGAAAAAAAATCTTAGACAAATAAATCTTAAGATATAAATATGCTGTACAAAACTAGTATATTTTATGTAATATATTCTAGGCTATTTTTGTGAAAAATAGCAAAAATTGGTTGTTTGTAAAAGCATGCTTCTATATGTTTTTCTGAATAGCAATGAGAGTTAAGGGTAATATAAACACAGTTTGAAAGCAGTGGAATATGGTCTTTAAGATGTAGGTTATAAAACAAAAAATGAGATCAAGAATAAATGTGCAATGAATGAATGTCAATGGAATGAAAAAGTGAATGAGTAATATTAAAAAAAGATAGCACATTGAGGTAGTTTGGCCATAGAGACGAATTAACTTGTGAAACAAATATAAGAAGAAAGGGTGAATTGTTCAAGAAGAAGGGGAAGACCAAGAAAGTTGTGATCAGATGGATATACAATTCCTGAAAAGTTTTTGTTTAAAAAAGATAAAATATCCCAGAACAAAAGGCAAAGTATGAAGCAGTCGGTGTTTTTGGTCATTCATACCTTGGTCATCTCCCATTTACAGTATATTACTGAAATGTGGTGTTGCAGCAGGGCAGACAGTAATAGGAACTCCTACATTTACTCAACCTTTGTTCTGCAAGCTGCACTTTTATCCATATAAAATTCTTGTATTGTTCAAAGAGATGACTGCTTTATGCGTGTGATTAATTTGATTTATAATAAGTTACTAAGCTTACCTTAGAGTCTGGAATAATTGGGAACACTTATACTGCAGATCAGGTAATGTTATTATTAGGGTTTTCTAACAAAGTCCATTCTGCTTTCAAATGGAAGAGGAGGAGGAGCAGGAGGAGGAAGCGCTGTACCATCATGATATGAACAACTAGCTCCTGTAACATTTTTTCTACTTTAAATATTAGCAATTTAAAAATTGTGAATGAAGGAAGAATTATTTTCAATCATTTTGTTAGTGTACAGCTTGAATGTGGTTTGGGAATTACAAAACACATCAAGATAAAGCCATTTTGACTTATGGAAACATAAGTATCTTTCTTGGCAGACTTCTTTAATGAAGGGACATCGAGTTCTCTAGTTAACTGTGGCAGCTGCCTGTGCCTATAATTTGTACCTGATATAGACATACACTAATAAAAGTAACAGGAAGATGTAGAGAAATCATTGGAAAATATCTAATATATATTAAGCATTTGGACATGTTGGGAAAGTTGTTTTTATTTAGAAAAACAAAATAAGCATTGATTTAAACATTAAATATGCACAATAAAAACTATTCCAATTCTTTAAGAATGTAACTCAGTAGAGGCAAGTTCTAAAGTATGCAAGTACACAAATATTTTAACTGCTGTATTTAGAAGCTGCCCTATTTCTTTCCCTCTCTTTCCTCTGTCCCAGCCAGATCCACCTATATCTGCCAAGAAGCAAATGAAAGAATGAACAAGGATCAGATTCACTTTGGGACACTCCACTCCCCAGGC